GGAGTTGGAGTGCTATTTTGTATCCAGTTCGTGAGTTTTGGTGTTCTGCAGTAGCTGTGCCTGTATCTCTGGAAAGGGGGCCGATCGCCTAAACGTTTTTTACCCCTTGTGTGCAAAACGGTCCGTTACACCCTCAACTCAGGCGTCAGGTGGAGGCCCAGGGGGCCTGACCAGCACATGTAAGCTGCACCATGCGCAGCGGGTGCTACCCCTAGACCCGAAACAACCGCGGCATTCCCAGTAGCACTCACAGAGGACTCAGATGTCACTAGCGGTGGCGCCGAGGCCAGGGGGGTGGTGACCTGTAAAGAAGTGTCGGGTACTGGCGCTGAAACCCCCGCAAAATCACACCCTGCGGAACTAGCCCAGCCCGCCCGAAGTTGGTTATCCACGGCCACTGGGGTAGGGGCCCCAGGACGGGGTCCCCGCTCAAGAGTTATAAGAACATTCTTGATAGCTTGGAGCACCGAACCCCACTCATGCGACTCGCGTGCGCCCACGCCCCCCGAATCTAATACGGCGAAAGCAGAATACTCACCGGCAGGAGCCGAATTCGAGGGTAGCAGCGGAACCGCAACTTGCGCAGTAGCCTGCGACGGCCCCGAGGGAACTGCGACCGCAGGAAGCACCGTATCAGACACAGCGTCAGGAAACCGATTCGCGAGCTGACCAGGAGGAATCTGTGAAGACAGGACAGGTGAGAAAAAACCCTGCCCACCCACACCAGGTGCTGGGGGAAGCACAGTAGGGGGGGGCAACCCTGCCAGATTCATGGATGTAAAAGAGGGACCAGAGAAAGGGACAGCCAGGACAGAGGTAGGCGCAGAGGGGGCAGCATGGGGCCTAGAGAAAGGTAGAGGAGGTGAAAAAGGAAGCAGGGGGGTAGGAAGGACGGATGAGGGTGATGGGAGTGCGGCATAGGCAGGCCCAGGGGAGACAGAGAGGGGAGTAGGAGAAGGGGGGGTGGGCTGTGTGAATGAGAAAATTGGCCTGGCTCTGAGCCCCGACCCCCCCGACCCCCCCAACCCCCCAGTGAGGACCCCGGCGGCCTGCGGCCTACTCACCAAGTCTTGAGAAGGGCCGGCTGCAGGCCCAGCCCGTGCGCGCTCTGCCCGAGATCCGCTGGGGGCAGAGCGCACATCAGGCGCCCGGTGCGCCGGCCGGGACAGATTCACCGTTCTTGATCTCGCGGCCGCCCTTCTGAGGGCGCGCGAGATGTTGGAGGGAGGGACCGGACGGCCATCACCTCCCCGAGCAGCGGCCGCCAGCCGGGCACTGCGGGACCGCCTCGGGGAGGAGGTGAGGGGGTGATGTGAAGTGCCGGCCGCGGCTGCATGAGACCTGGCGCGCGTGCCGGCACTGGGGCTCCCACTCCTGTCCCCCGCCCGGCCCTCACGCGAGGGGAGGCGGCAGGAGGATGAACGGTGGCAGCGCCGGCCGCGGCCACGTGGGAAC